GATTTGCAAGGGCAATGGACGGACAAGACATCTTTCTCCTCTTGAACTTCTTCTTTTTCCTCCTCTTTAACAACTTCTTCCCTCTTACGTTTACCTTTGGTGCCTGTGTTTTGGCCCATCCTTGTGAGCTGTTGTGATCCTAATTCTTCCTGGATTTTCAGTTCTGAAACTCTGAATACCCGGCTCCCAGCAGAACCTAGTCTGTTTTTAACTCCATACTGTGAACCACTTTAATGATGTCTCTTATAATTACTTGGAACACTACATGTACTTAGGTGTAGGCATGTTTTTTCACAAAAATGCAGATGGATGGTGTACTAGGATGTCACAAGAATAATGCTAAATGTAAAGTAAGCATGTGAACGTTTGATACCCTGAATAGAGTTTTTTTTTTCAAACTTAAACATGCCCGCATGAGTTTTTTTTTCGATGTAAAATAATGCATTTCTACGACTTCAAGGAGAGGCAGACATGCAAAACTTCTTTTTGAAAAATATGAGCACATGTGTGAGCGGGGCAGCTACAAAGTCAATGACATAGCTAACATCTACACAAATGGAGATATAATAGCCCTTAGTGGTCATACAATCACGTCCAATGCCAACCCATTCGAGTTAGATAGAATATAGCTATTTGAGTTGAAATGTAAAGGAAATTTGCTTGGAATTGATATCAAGACTTGCATTGAGGCAGAAGATTGGGGGCAGCAGAAAGGTGAACCCTCTCCACCCTCCATTCATGGCACTTAACAAACCAGTGATGTTATACCATTGTTCATCATAAAGCACTGATGACAATCGTTATTAGACAAGTAAGAAGAATGCTCAGAGTTCCAACCGAACCGCATCCTTAAAGCATCACAATATAATGCAACTGTACAAACATACCCCTTTGGCCAAAAAATTATTACTCTGATAAACATGGACAAATTGAAACCACAAAATGTCATTTTTGAAGGACGAAGCAATTATTATTAGACAAAATGAAGGATGCTTTGGCAGATAGATAAGAAAACCCAAATAGCTTGCTTGAGTAATACACCACCACTCAGTGGGCAAAGCGCAAAATGAAGTTCCTCATAACAAACACAAAATACCATGATTTAGTACTTGTAGTCCTTCCCGTGAAGGCTGTTTGAAGCTGCCTTGTTAAGATTCGGAGAGCCTTTGTATGTCCCAAGTGTTGTTTCAGAATTAGCTTTGCATCTGTTTTCATCGGATCCGCTTTGGTATCTTCCTGGTTTTCTTCTTCTTCGCCCTCTTCATCATTCTCTTCTTCAAGATCCGCATCTTCTGATTTTCTACCTATTGCACTGAAACTTGATCCCGGTGTTTCCTTCTCTGGCTCTTGATCTGATTTTGGATTCGCTCTAGTCCGACGAAGGTGAATCCCGATTTGGTGAATTCCGCCACATACTACGATGGATTGGCAGGGTACGAAGAAGCAGATCTGTCGTCTGGCAAGTAACAGTTGTGTAGCGTGGCGAGTAACTGTTGTAGCGGATGTCGTCGTTAACCGTACAATATGTTAGAAGACGGAGATAGACGGCTAATAGGAGCAAATACAATGGGCAGAGCTTAATGTACAACCCCTTAAAACATAGAATGACCACCAACACATTTTTTATACCCAAAATAACCTTACCTTTATTCATGATTATAATATTTTAGAGAAGTGTCTTTATTAGTATCATTGTCATTAAAAAGGTGTATTGTTTGTGTTTATATATTTGGTTTAGGTCTGCTACTACTTTACTAGTTACTTTGTGACCCCATCCGCCAATGCAAATGATAAAGTGGGTGTTTGGTAAACGGCGTCTTAGCCGAAAAATGGCGTTAGACCACTCTCAGCGTTTTCAATAAGTGAAAAAGTTGTTTGGTAGATAGCGGTTCGGCACTAGCGTTTTTGGACGAAGATGTTGAAATGAAAACGTTGCTAATAGGAGAGTTTTGGGTTGCCGTTTTGAAAAATAGCGTTTTCTATTAATTTTATGGCCAAACCGCTGAAATTACCAAATATCTTCTAACAACCCGCCAATTTATTCCGCTAGTCAGACTCGCTGACTGAATCCGCTATTAACAACCCGCTAACATAATCTGCTATCCGCAAAATGTCAAACACGCCCAAAAACCTGAATGCAAATTACATGTTTACTTCATTATTAAAGTCACTGTCTAATTATTCATATAGCCGATGTAAAGGCTCCCTTCATACTTGCGCATGACCTAATACAGAGTAAAGGTGTGGCTGCGCCGCCGCCCTTGCACTTCAGCATGGGATTGGAGCGGATGTTTTTTTAGTTTTGTTCTCTCTATTTTGGTTTACAATACCAACGTAAAGACTGTGTAGGGCTGGAGGGTAGGGCGGGAGGGTAGGGCTGGAGGGTACGGCTGGAATAAGGACAAATAATTATGGTGAAGATTGTCCTTAAAGTTGATGTTATTTACAAAATAACCTGGAAGCAATTAAAAGCACCCACAACCCTACTTCTAACTTTTGACTTATACTCCCTCCGTCCCTAATAACTTTGCCAAGTTTGACCGGCACGGGGATTAATAAAGTAAAAACTGTGTGGTTGATGTTTGTGCAGAGGAGAGAGAATTAACTGGATCCACAAATTCTTTACTTAAATGGGAAAGTGGCAAAGTTAATGGGACATCCAAAAAAGGAAAGTTGGCAAAGTTATAAGGGACGGAGGGAGTAAGTGTTTGAATTTAAGCTGAAAGCTGGGAATGCAAACAGCATTTTTGGCTATTTTCTTTAAAAAAAACTAAAAGCACTTTTGTTTAAAGCTTGCAAACACACCAAGCGTCAACTTAAGTGTTCTCTTAATGAAAGGTGTCCTCTTCATTAGAATAACAATTTTTTATTTCTTTTCGTATCATCTGTTTTGATCAGTCATCCATCATTGTAAACCGCTAGAACTCTGACAACTAACATTGATGGACCATCTCTTCCGTTTAGAACATTTTTTTTCTTACAACTAGTACTAGTATCTCACTATCCTAGTTGAATTCTTTCATCATTTTCTTTACGAGAAATTTCCTTAAAAAGACTATAATATAACCAAAATGCACAAGTAAGACTAGAGATGGCAATTGTGACCGATCCGATAGATACCCGCACCGAACCACCCCGGTCAAAATGGGGAAAACCGCATTGACCGGTAATGGGCACGGTGCGGGGAATACTCGTTTTGTTTTTACGGGTAATGGGGCGGTTACGGTTTTATGCATGCTCACGCCATTACCCGCCCCATACCCGTCCCGTTTATTTTTAGGTATATTTTTATTATATTATCTATTATTTGACCCACAACTAATACAAGATGAGTTTTTTAATGTTCATTGCGTATATATGGATAATAGATGTACTAACTATAATGTAAGAATGATGAAAGTTCTCAATAGAACTTAATAGCCTTGTTTGATTAGTATATGATTTTTCGCGATTAATTATTTTTCAAATTAAGTATTTTTTAAGTTCAAATTAATTTAGGTTGTCTTCTTTTCTCATCTTATAGATGTATGAAGCTTTAAAGTGGCGTCTGAGTCTAGAGTCGTCTAGGTGATGCCATTTTTCGCCTTTTAAAATATTATGTTTTTATTAAAATGTCAATGACTCATTTAATAAAGTAATTACCCACGGTTACCCATTGGGGCGGTTATGGTTTGGATAAAAATTACCCATTGGGTAATGGGGCGGTTATGGGGCGGGAGAATTACCAAACGGGGCGGGTACGGTTATATGTAAAACCGTCCCCGATCCGCCCCGTTGTCATCCCTAAGTAAGACCACCATCGTTTTCAAATACCATTACTGAATGATGCAAAGGTGCCGTAAGCCTCGCTCAATTGTACTACATCCGTCTCTTTTTGTATGTCTTGTTTTTATTTGACACAATTATTAATAAAGTGATTGAAAAAATAAAAGTTGTGATTGATATCTAAATATAATAAAATCAAATGTTGTGGATCACATATTTCTTTCTAAAATTAAGTATGGAACTTATTTTGAGACAACTCAAAAGGAAAATAAAAAAGGTAAAATCAAACGGGGATGAATTTTATCAATATAATAAGACTTGAAAGACAAATAAGACTTGAAAGACAAATGAGCTATCAATCCGAAATCTAAGACCCGAAGTGATTGAAAGCTATCATCAATCTAGGACTTAAATTGACATGAATTATCTTATTTATTTATTTATTTTAAATTAATAAAGTTTTGTGAATAAAAAATTATTAAAAATTAAAAATGAAATTAATAAATCAAAAATTGTGGAATTTCAAATTCTAGAATGATAGTATTGAATCATTCAAACCCTATAACGACACATTTCATCTTTCTAACCCCGAATTGGCAATTCATTTATATTTCGGGATGGACTCAAATTGGCCGAGTCAGGCCCAGTCCTGGGCGGGCTTTGGGACTGAGGAATTTAGGCCTGGTACCAGCCAAGATTTGCTCCAGGACCTAGTCATGGACCCGGTTTGGGCCGCCCGGCCCGGGACCGGCCCGGCCCACTACTGTGAGGGTCCGGAACCGGCCCAGTTCTCGGGTCCGGGTCGGGCCTAGGTCTGGTGGGGGGGCGGGTCCGGGCTCGGGTCTTGTATTTGGCAAACCGGCCCGGCCGGGTCGGGCCCGGGTCCGGGACGAATTGATTTTTTTTTTTCTTCATTTTTGGGGTTCCACCCGGGTTGGGCTTGATGGTTGGGTCAGGTTTGGGGGGTTTGGGGGGGGTGGGGGGGGGTTAGTAAAGCAAAAAAAAAAAAAAAAAAAAAAAAAAAAAAATAAAAATAAACCGGAGGCCCAGCCCGGACCCCCGGACCGGACCCGGTGGCTACCCGGGCCGGTCCCGGGCCTTCTTTCCCAAAAAAAAAAAGCCCGGCCGGGCCCAGCCCGGAACCGGAACCGGCTCGGGTCCATGACTACCAGGACCGATACGAGCCCAAATTCAGTTCATCCCTATCTATATTTGAAGTCCTGAATTTATAAAAGCCAATATAAATTTGAATAATCCAGAACTTTTTCATAAGTTAACAAATTCAACAACCGTTTCAATCAAAACTTTTGCAAATATAACAAAATCAATTAGGAAGTATTTAAAATTACCAAAAGAGATGTAGTTACTGCTATTCTACAAGTACATAACAAGTTAAAGTTAGAACGGTAACTTTGTCATTAACAGTCCACGAAAAACGCCTTTTTTGTCCACAACAAATGTGAAATTTAGGCTTTAAGCTACAAAGAAAAATTACAACACAAGGGGTATGATGCCGAGGAGTGTGGGGCCCAGCTCCCCACCCATCAGTTTTCTTTGGCAGCTGCAGTGTCCACAGAAGCATAGGAGGCATCGGCCATAGATGTGTCCATGTCGTTAATGCCTAACTCCTCATTTTGTTCCCATGATCTCTCATATTCCTCAACTGCAAAATAAAAATACACTCAGTTATACCTACATACAGCTTATACTTGGTTTGCAGTGAGACCATCATAAAAATGTTGGTTTTCTGATCTCTTTTCCCAGTCTTTACCCAAAAAAAGATGCAAGCTTTTAAACCCCTTTGGCGGGTGTGAATTAACTAAAATTGCTCAAGTAGTTGAAATTGTGGGTGAAATTTTTCTGAATTATCAAAAAATAAAATCCGAACATTTATAAGAAAAATAAAGAAATAATACATCTTCCTACCTAACCTAGAACGAATTCCTGCTTTGACTTTTAGTGATTTTTATTACAGTAAAAACAATGTGGTTGAAATTTTTGAGCTGAGAAACAGTATCAGCCACAAAGGCTTTTCCTTAAAAGGAATGATAGATATGTAGTACTACGTACTCCCTCCGTATCTATTTACTTGTCTCGCTTTCCCTTTCGGGATGTATAAAAAATGTCTCATTCTCTTTTTGGAAATAAATTCACTCAAAAAGCAGCTACAGTACCGCTACAGTACTGCGACAGTAACAAAAGCCTCCTACTTTACATATAATTGTCTTAAGCTACGTAAAAAAGCATATGGGCCAAATAAATAGATATGGAGGGAGTATAATTCAGTCACAGTAAAAAACAAGGGACAGATATCTAGTAGTACCGCATGCACTACTTTTTACCTTTTAATTATTCATGGAAAACTTACATGTTAACTGCTTGTCGTCTCTCAGATCATCAGTAACAGGAGCCACAAAAGAATTTGACAATGCATCGTCGATAATCAAAGTCCAGTGTGTTTCCAAGTTCAAAAGCTGAAATAGAAAATGAATCATCCATGTTGCTTTTAATTTATTAGCAACACTCCAAAAGGTTTACAAAGAAATCACATACATTGAAGAAACAAAAACAAACTACTCCATGTCTAATTAATTGGTGTAACACAGTTGCGTGAATACATAGAGGTAGTATAAAGGGGTACACTACAATAACAATCACCTTGCGAAGTCTTTCTGTGAAATCCAGCCACTTGGATTTCCTGTCACCATCTAGACTATCTCCAAATGTGAACCCATGCACCCTTTCAAGATCTGGATTTTCATGCAATGAATTTATTCTCATTTTTAATCTATTCTAAGAGAAGCATTTGAAGAGTGAGAAACAGGAAGATAAGTAAAAGAAAGTGCATGAGAAGCTACTCACTTTCACTAATTTTTGTGACTAAACCTTCAACTGTTGTCACAACACCACCCAGAGTGCCACTGGTAAGCTCCAAATCAAGCTCTGGTATGCTCACCGCAGCACTATCTGACTGATAAATGCCGCAACGATTTCAATCAGACAAAAACAAACAAGCTATGCTCGGCATGCTGTATGCTATAGTTATAAGTTATTTTTTGCTTTCTAAAGTAACCTTTTCAAATAAGTCTTATTTGGTTGGTAAACTTATTTGATAAGTCAAAGCTTATTTACTATCTTCATCTATTATTTGGTACCTGTTACAACCTAATTTTATTTTTAAACAATTCCAAACTTCTTTTATGTCGTTTTATATTTCTAAAGTAAACAGCTCACTTTTACCAAACGCTATATGAGATCAGCTAGAGCACAAGTACGAAAGCAAATGAACAAACAAACACATATCGCCACATCCTACCAACAAAGATTAAAGATATGAGCAGAAGTTTTACCTTTATCACATCTCTACTTAAATCTTTAACATTCTCCACGTGAACTGTGATCTTCTTCCCTTTGTCAGAAATGCTACCACCAGGTTTCAACTGGGCAGTTGAGCACATAATCAATCATAGGATGAAATGAACATATGCAAAACATTCAACATGAATCTTAAACACTCCAAACGTTTATAATTACAAACCTCGGAATTGCGATACCCACAAGCATCACAAGAAGATGCCATTACAATAACTTCTCGAAAATAAGGAATGTCTGTTGGTGGTTAAGTTCACAGATAATAATAAGGAAAAAAGGTCAAATAGGGCCTCGAACTTACATAAAAAGGTCAAATAAGGCCTTATATAGGAGGCTTTGTCCGGCCGTCGCCATTTGGGGCAGTTCCCGGTGGAATTTTTTGATGAATTTTTTTGAGCATCTTATTCATCAAGTCTAGTTTACTCATACCAAATTTGAACTAAAACTTCAATCGGGAAGACATGCAAATTAATTCTTGAAGATAACTGCGCTTTTAAAAGCGCAGTTATCTTCAAGAATTTATTTGAATGCCTTCCCCATTGAAGTTTTATCTGATATTAGGTATGAGCAAACTAGACTTAATGAATAAGATGCTCAAAAAATTTCATCAAAAAATTCCACCGGGAACCGCCCCAAATGGCGACGGCGGGACAGAGCCTCCTATGTGAGGCCTTATTTGACCTTTTTACGTAAGTTCGAGGCCCTATTTGACCCTTTTCCCTAATAATAACAATAGTAGTAGTAGTAGTAGTAACAGTAGTAAAAATATTTATAATGATAATTTTAAAAATAGTAATAACAAGAAGACTAACAACAATAATAAATGATGATGATAGAAATAACACCATAACTGATAACAATAAAAGTTGATAATGCTAATACTAGCAATAACAATAATTATACTCCGTAATAAAGTTGGTAATAACTACGACTTTTTAGTTTTCAACTTTTCATAGTATTTGAGTATCATATCATGACTTCACAACAATTACTAAATTGTTAGATTATAAAAAATTAATTGTTAGTTACCGAGTTACGTGATTACATCCCAATTTCTCTTAGTGCACCTCAAGATCCACAAGGCGCACATCTTACATTGGGTTAAAGTAATTCATTTTCACTTGGCTTTGAGGAGAGAAAATGTAGACAGCTTATAGCTATAAATTGGATACTAGTAACAAACATTCGGCATTCACAACTTGCAGCACAAGCTCCACAAGTCGTTGGAAATACCATCACCTGTCATCCAAAGAAGGCATATAAAAATTCTAAATATATATGTATAAGCATTTAATAACTAATGAACAACAAGAGATAGAAAGTATACCTCCTCTGGCGAAGAATATCTAAATAAAGCTTCTGAGATTTCAGCAGTATTACTCTGAGCAATGGCATGTCGTCCAGCTTTTGCACCAACTGCTCCATGTGCCGCACTTCCCATTTGATTATTTGCCCCCTTTTTCAATGTCTCACTGGTGTGGTCGTCTACATGTGAGGGATCAACAAGATACCCTAAAGCTTTCTGTTGTTCAGGAGTTCTCTCATAGAACTTAATGATCAGCAAGGGGTCAGGAGATGGAGCAAACCTGTCTCAAATTATTGTCCATCAAAAGAAAATTCAGAAGACTATGTTACAGAAGCTAGGGGGTGGTTCTAATAAAGATTATCATCCTTATAGATGACAGAAATGATTAGGAACCAACAGGATAATAAGTAATATCACACAACTACATATTTTTCAAAATTTTCAAATATTAAACATAAGCAACAAAGATATAAAAGAAGTAAATAGAAAAACCCACATGTTTCCAACATTAATAGTTGAATATGTTTGTTTGGTTTACTAGTAAACTCATTTTGAAACCCTTTCTTTCAATTTAGAGTTATGCCCCTCACAAGTAAAAACTATACAATCTACATTTGGTTAAGATATGTACTCCTATTTATTTACATCCAGGAACATTTTTTAGGAGTTATGCCCCAGCATTTTTTACATTGAGTAACATTTGTTTATAATTTGAAGTTATGCCCCTTGCACAGTTATACATTCAGTTTCTTTACAAACTTCTTTGTTACTATTTGGGATACATTCTCACCTTTTCTTCTAGATCCTGCAAAATATGCTTACAATTTGATTATTTATCTAAAAATAATTTGGAAATATGGACAAGAATAATCCCAACTATTAGTGATCTGCTTGAAATAATCCAAAGTATCAATTATCTTAAAATAATCCCAACTATTAAAAAATCTTCTCAAAGTAATCCGGTGACTTATAATTATCCATAAATAACTTATACTCCCTCCGTCCCAATTTGATGGTCTCATTTCTTTAGGGCACAAATTTTAATAAAGTGATTGAAAAGGTAAAAGTTGTGGTTGAGATTTAAGTAGAAAAAGGTCAAATGATCTGGACCACATATTTCTTTCCAAATAGGGAAACAAGACCATCATTTTGGGACATCCCAAAAAGGAAATACGGGACCATCATTTTGGGACGGAGGGAGTAATATTTATCAGTAAATGGAGTATTTTGAGAAGATTTTTTAATAGTTGGGATTATTTTGAGATAACTGATACTTTGGATTATTTCAAGCAGACCACTAATAGTTGGGATTATTCTTGTCCATTATTCCAAATAATTTTTGATAAATTAATTTTACCCCCACAAAAAGTATATGAATATTCTGTCTTCAGTGATCATGTGTGTATCTTAGACACTTTTGGGTTGTTGGGTACATGGAAAGAGAAAAGTTGTAAATGGAAAATAAACTCCGTGGTAGAAGAATAAATATGGACTCAAAATTCCATAGTTTGTTTGATAGGAATAAAATAGATTTAAGATAATCTGGGAAAGAAGAAATAAAGACAAAACAATCCCTTCAAGGAAAAGCACAATTATCAATTATGACAAGATTGGGGTACTTTTCTCCCCCATTCTTACTTGTGCTCCCAATTAGCATGGAACAGTTATTTCTATGCTTTGGGTAAGAAAAATGTTCTCAACTAAAAGGGAATTTTTCCCTGAAAAAAGAGTTTTCTCATGTGAACCAAACATAGGAATATTTCAGCTCGGAAAAAGAAATAAGGAATAAATATTCCAAAATATCAGATATGCCATTAGGCTTCAATAAGATCACTAAGAGTAAGATAAGTTCTTACGGATTTTCAATGAAGCTGTTACCAGAGGGATCATCAAGAATAAAGGTGAAGGATGAATCTCCAGTTGCACAAGCTCTTAACTTTACCAAAAACTCATCTATAGCTTCAGCCATCTTGGGATCAACTTTCTGCACATATCAGAGGTTGGTTTATTTAAGTACACAATAGAAGGACAGCTTTGAGGAACAAACATGACTACACAACCCCCGTCACCTTTCTTTCATCCTGAAGGGCCTCCAGCTCATCAGCAGCTCTAACCAATATCCCTTCCACCTATACAAATAGAGTGGACAATAGTTAAAAAAGTTAAAACCAATATAAGCTGAATGTTCAGAAGACCAGTAGTGAGTATGATGTCTTCTGTGTAACATAGAAGATACCGACATACCGTGGACAAAGAACCACGTTGTGCCTCCGTAGGGATCTCAAAATCCAGTTCAGGAATCTGTGGCAAAACATGCGAGCTATATCAACAAAAGTTAGAAAAATTGAACATCCAGAAAGCAACTGCTCAGCACACAGGCACACTTGGCAGGAGTTCATTAAACTTCTGATTATATCAAAAAAATAAAAAGTGACAACTAATCAAAAGTCACAAGTCCTTCCACCAAAAAAACAAAGTACCTTGATAGTAGCACTTTCAGATTTTACCACTGTTCGATCAAGCACCTGCAATAAGATACCAACACAGTCAAGGCATTTAATAACATACACTCTACAAATGCTTAATTAGATAGTTAATAGTCTTTTTCCTTTTAAGGAGTGCATTGTGTGGACTGTGGGGTAACACTCTTTTTTCTTTTTCTACATCAGCTACAACCATACATTTCCACTTTATTAACAAGCAAGCCAAGTCAAAGTGGGAAGAAGTAGTACTTTTTACATGCATTAGCTTATAGTTTAAAAAATGAAAGAAGAGGTGCCAGGAAGAAGGGGGTGGTGATTTGCCACCCTTTAACACAGTGTGACACTACCTAATATGTTTCTTTGCAGGGTTTCACATCAAAACAAGACTTCATCATTAGTTGTGTACTCATAAAAAAGAGTTGCTACATTTTGGCATTATAGTAAGGATATGTGTAGGGAAATACACAAAGAAAGGCTCAAGGAATCCCAAAACACGCCTCAAAGGAATAAAGAAGGATGCAAAGTATCACTTTAACGGGAATTTGGTCAAATTCATAGCAATCTCTAAACATTTTGTTTTTCCTAAGCCTTTAGCAGCCCCTTACTTAATGCTTGTTAATGTAGTTGTACGAGTATATAATTAGATATAGATTCATCTCTAATACAAACTTGAGGAGTAACAACATATTAATATCAAGCAAACATGCCAACCCATGAACTACAGTCTTACTCAAATAAATCAACTGCAGAGTAAATTTTTTATACAACCTTTTGATCGCCAGCATGAAAACACAAGCTATAGCAGCACCCACGTGGCTGAATTTCACCAGCAAATTGCACTTCATTGTTTCTTTAAAACGCAAACCAGGTGACATAAGAAACCTTTTTTAACAAATCCTTATATAACTTCCAAACCAAATCTTATTACCTTTCACCACAATGGGGGCACTCAAACGCTGACAATAGTATCTGCAAGCACATATGACAGTAACTTAAAATACATAAGAGAGATGATTTCAAGTGGAAATTGAGAGAAGAAAGCCCGTACCTTCCTAAAGTGAGGTATTAAAGTTAACAAGAACCTAGTTACTCCCTAAGAACAGAAAAATGCAGAGTCAATACAAGCAAGGAACACAAAAGATCATAACATCTAACTAATGTTCCTGTTTTCAGGAAAGAAAGATGCATACATTCTCTCTGCAGCGCATACATAGGCTCTCAACCTCAAGAAGGGGCGAATTGGTATCTGCATTATCTCCTGCAGCGGCCACTGCCTCCACCACAGACCGTACGTCAACGATTTGGTGATTCACCGCAGCCGATGCTGCACTTTCCATCTCTGAGTTTGGGGAACTGAAGGCCGGAGGTTCCTGGATGGGTTTGGTTTGTTTGCTTGGGGGATCCGGATATGAAGACTGGTATTTAAGTAGAGGCACTTACAAAATTGTGTGTTAGCTGTGAAACCTTTGTTCAGTACTTCTTTGTCGAAGATATGTAGTACGGAGTGATTGATAATCTCCAAGACCAGGTATTGTCAACCTAAGTATCAATATTTAGTCTTTTAATTTTGTGATTAGTATGAAAATAAACGAATGATAATGAGTTTCAACTCATCTCTTAATATCTAAAAGCAAAAGAAATATCATGAAGCATTCTCCCACTCAAAAAATGTCCACTGATGGAGTTTAGGATACCCAAACTGTATTAGAGAAATTTAGAGCTAGAGATCAGGGGCATCTTGAGCGTTTTGGAGGCCCTAGACAGAAAAATACCTACTATGCACAAATCATATTGAAAATGAGGTAAATTGAATAACAAAAAATATCATGTGAAAAAAACATATTCAAAGTGCATGATATAATGTTTCTAATATTCAAAAGGATAAGTTTCTAAATGCAAAGATATGTAAAATACACTGCAAACCTGTACTTGTAACACCCTATTCTTCTTGCCTTTTGAAGTGCAAAATCAATGATACTGTCACTTTATAAATAATTGATAATAACTACATATTTATAGATTGTACAAAAATCACAAATAAATCAATTAACAAAAAACCTATAACTTATATATACAATGACAAATCAAACAAAAAAACTATTACATACTTTACTAGTACCAATACCATCCAATTAATTATTTCATGTATTTTATCATAACAACAACATTGCCCCAGTGCCACAAAGGCTCCCACCTATACTAAAAGTCTATAACAAAGAGAGACTGTTTTTGGATGACACGTGATGAAAATCAAGTCAAAAATTGCATAGATTGATTGTTGCATCATAACAGAAATGGAATCAGAACAATATTTGAGGGGGGCTGAGAAATTCATTAAAAGTCAAAAAACTAAAATTGGAAAAAGGTATGAGAAATATGTAATACTCTGTATGTGAAAATGCATACATTAGACTACTATTAATGGTTAGAAGAATAAACAATTTGAGATAGGGGGTGTTTGGATCTGATTCTTAAGTAGAAGTTGGAGTGTTTTTTACTCCTAGAATCAGTTTTTTTAGAAGCTAGGGGAGACCGTCTTCTGAAAACTGATTCTGCTTCTGCTTTAAAAAAGAAGCAGAATCAGAATCGATTCCAAACACCCCCGTAGTGGGTAACCTAACAAATAATAAAATCATAAATAATACAGAGTATTATACTATTATATGATGTACTGTAAATTATTCTATTCTCTTTTTTATTTACTTATCTTATTTACACAAGTAATAAGATTGAATAATGCATATCCCTAAACCAGTTAAAGATTATTAAAGTTCTGATACTTTAAAACCTGAAAAGTGAATAATTAAAATGTTAAAAAAATCAGCCTAAACAGTAAACTAATCACAAGCTAAACTAAATAATTGAGAAAAACCAAATCATACTACACTGTCTACAGTCTACACATTGTCTCAATTTGACAATTCTCAAAGGTCAAAGCTGCAAGCCTGAACGCTATAGTGCTAATGCCCAACCTTTAAAGCTATAAAAATATACTTCGTGTAATATATTAATCACAATTCACAACTCAAAATCCAAATAACTCAAAATTGAATATCTGAAACAATAAAATAATAGAAAGTGGAAATAAATAATAAACCTATAGACTGCAGATCAGCGGATGAGCAGACATTCACACAATGCGGCTTTTCCTTCCTCGACGGCAGACGCAGCAGGCCTAAATGCCCAAATCACCCAATGTCCTAATCATCTGTTCACTCCCTTACGAGTTATACACGTCATTTTAGGGTTCAATTTTCAGCATTTGGGCCTTTAACCTAATAATCACAACCACCTATTACGCGATGTCGTTTCTCTCTTTTTTTAAAATACTTAACCAAACTGCAGCAATTTCCCTACTGCAGCAAATGGTCGACGGAAACCATAAGGGGCAGCGAAGAAGACCAGGGGTGCTGTAGAAATAATATATTTATACCCTAACATTTCAGGTGAAGGGGGCTCAGGCACTGGCTCGACCCCTAGTTTCGTCCATGTTCCATTGGAAATGATGGAACCAATTCGTGTATTTAATTATTTAAATTAATTATTCACATGTATCTAACATCTAGCAATTTAAGAATTTAAAGATAATGATCGATAAAAAAATGCCTTTACTGCTTGAATGCTTCTGTACTTGTCTGCCGTCTGGTGCAGGCTTTAGGCCTTCTGGCCTTTATCTTTAGACTTGTGTACTCCGTTTCACTATTTAATTGACTAAATGTCTAAAGAGAAATGGAAAATCAATCGAATGATAGAGAGAGACAAAAAGTAATACGTAATATGATATTAAGAGAAGGACTGAAGGAAAGACTAGAGAAGTCAGAGATACTCACCTAAGTCGGCGGCAGGCGGCGAATCCAGAGATGGTTCGGACGGTGGGTGGTGGCTCGCGGTTGCTGCTGGGAAGCCGATTGCGGGTTGTTGTTTCAGAATGAGAACCTGAGAAGCCGGATTGCTGCTTCACCGTTTGTACGTTCGGCAGATGGTTGGATCACTTGTATGAGTTGAACCGTTTGTTCTAGAAAGAAATTGTATAATTTCGCGCACCCTCAGAAATCGTTAGAAATATGACCATAGCCCAACTTTAATAATCTAATTTTCTTCTTCTAACATACTCCCTCCGTCCCCTTTTAAAAGTTCCGGAGGAGGGTGGCACGAGTTTTAAGAAAAGTGAGTTTGTGTGGTTGATATTAATTGATAAAGTAAGAATAAAGTAAGAATAAAGTAAGAATGATTTTGAGCCACACAAACTTTACCAAATAAGGTATGGGACAATTAAATAGGGACATCCCAATATGGTAAAATGGGACATTTAAAAGGGGGCGGAGGGAGTATGTATTTTTGGGGGAAATAGTAAATTTGGTCCCTTGTATTTTCATGAAAAAGTCAATTAGGTTCTCATATTTTTAAAAAGATCAATCAATTCTTGAATTTTGTAAAAACGCTCAATTGAGTCCATTTGCAAGTTACTTCAAAATTTGAGGATTTGATTGATTTTTTTAAAAGTACGAGGACCTAATTGACTTTTTTATGAAAGTACGAGAACCAAATTGACAATTTTCCATATTTTTTTTGTTTACTAAAACATGAGTGCTTTTCTTCTTTTTATATTCCATCAAAAATACAAAGTATTATCTCATACAGGCAACGAATTAATATAATACTCCCTCTGTCCCTAAATGTTGTTCCAATTGCGGATTACGAAGGTTGGCCGACGATAAAGTTAAATGATCCCTGTGAAAACTCGGATTATTTTTAGTAAATAAAATTTACATATTCAGAAACTACATTAAACCCGCTACAAAGCCTGCAAAAAATAATTCAACTTTTATAAAATTTTGATATAAAAAGTAAGAATTTAAGAGTGATTTAAGTTGACCCTCGATAAACGAAATTGAACTTCTTTTGGACAGGGGGAGTATGCATTAACAATATCTTTAGAATGCTTTTATTTAAACTAAAATCTTTAGGTTGGTCTACTCTATTTAAGATCGGTTTGATTTTGTTTGGTATGAAATTGAAATCACTTCGATTATAAAATCCTTAGAGTTACATAAACACACTGATATGGGAATCAAATAAAAACAAAAACTCGTGAGTATATTCTAAATAAAATAATGTGAGTTGATTGACCCTGAAATTTCAGGTCTACTCTTTTTAAATTTGATTTGCTCTATTTAAGTCTAGCCAGATAAGATAATTTCTAGTGTATGTATATTTTAAAAACATATAAATTAAAATAAAAACATATAGATTGGAAAACTATAAAACAAAAAAGCAAAAAAAACTAATTTTATATCATTGAAACACATGTCGAGCATATTTGGTAACATTAAAATGGGCTAAATCGATTAATTCTGCTGAGATTGATGGATTTTTAGCTAAAGTGGTTGAATTGACCGAATCTACTGAATTATGGAAAAATTATATTTAAATTTTATTTCATTAATAGCTAAAATAATTTTCTATAGTAACTTCAGTCAATTCAGCTCGTAGTATAACTTCAACCTGGTTTATTTTGGTTAATATGTGTAAAAAATTCAAACATTAACTCTAAACATTTAACCTTTAGCCCTTTAGTTGCTACATGAACGTCTTATTTGAATAAAATAAAGTTTTCATTCCATCTATAATAAATTTAATTTTTTTAATTTTAGATATACAATATTGATGTTAAATGAAAGATTATGAAAAATTATATGATTTGATATATTTTTTGTAAAAACAAATCATTAATGAAAAACATATAATATTTCATATAAAAACATTGATTATCCACATGTCGTCAAATTATTGGATGACGAGTCCATTTTTTGAAAAAAAAAAATGCTAGTGTGTGAAGATTCCGCCTAGTTGTAAGAATTGCTTATTTGATATTATTAATTGCTATGTGTCTATGTGTGATTCCGTATTATTATATTTTAAAAAGTTAAAGAGGGCAAAAGAGTGACCGTATGGTTACGTTGAGTAATAATAATGAGGGTGCACAAAGCAAACCTCATAAACAAATGTATGTAGCATAAAAATATATGCAATTATTAATAAAATGTTTGAAAAAATAAACATTATAGTTATTATATAAAAATATAAGTTAGTGAAGTACTAGACCACATATTTTTTCAATAAAAAATGGTTTTTCAAAAACAGAAATGTGACAATTATTTTGAAATAATCCAAAACGAAAAATAGAATATGCAAAAATTTGACGAAGGGAGTAGTTTTTTTGAAGCCCCTTGACATTTTAGGCCTAATGTAGTTGTCCCACCTATCTGGATCTTTAAGTTGCCCTTTTTATAGGAAAAAGTGCATAGTGTATTATGGCTAAATGAAATAGCTTTTACAATGCCCCCTAGGCCCCGACGGAGTATATAGGAACATGTGGATCGAGCTGCTGATATGAGTGTAATAGACCCAACTACATAAAAGAACTAGTAAGGTTATAAAGTGGCGGATCCAGGATTGAAAGATGGGTTTGGCTAAACAGTAAAAAAAATGTTACTAGACAGTAGGCATACAATTTTTAGCTCAGGGTTGTTATCGAACAAAACTTTTTTTGACTTATGTACTCGAGTAAGTCGAGATCGAGCTTGATTTCAAATCTAATTTAATGAATTGTGTTTAACAAGTTTCGAACTCGAACACGGATTAGATTTTGAGTTTGAATACTTATTCAAGTTGAGTTTGAACATAGTGATGTTTCACTCGAACCGCACGCCAGCCTATCATTCACATATAAATTATACTACTATATATATCTTAAAATTTACACGTTTTATTGCAAGTTTATAAATTTATTAATAATTAAAAAAGATTCGAGTATTTATTGAATAATTTGAACATGAATCTATTAACGAGAATAGTTTAAACTTCGGAGTATATAATTTTGTCAACTTTTTGTTTTTGAATGTGTTCACTGAATTGTCTCTCTTATGCACAAATTTCAATGACATACTTTTAACTTTATTATTATACGTAGTGGTTAATTTTGACAAAGTTATAACAGACTGATGAAGTAATAATCATTGACAGTAGTAGTATTAATGTTTTAATGTGTTTCTAAATGGTGTTTAATGATCAAAGTTGCCCCATAGTAGTAGACATGGTGAGCTAGTCCTATGATTTCGAAGGGCATTGTCTTCTCCTTTTTCAGATCGATGAAACAACAAGCGAGAATTGAATAGAAAATAAGAATCAAATCCAATGAGGGATACTGATGACTAGAATTATCAGTTTTTTAAGACGGATAGTGTTTAGTTTTATATCAGATTTATATCTATTCTCGTTTTTTTGTGTACGTATAGTGTTTAGTTTCACTACGATTAGAACTATTGAGGCCTTTAGAGCCGGGTCAATCTTTAAAACTCTGGTTGAATTTTGAGTGTTTTTTTTCTATATCTGATAAGACAGATTAAGAAGATCTTTGGTTATTTTGAGTCTAAAAATGTGTTTATATGAAAATCCACTAATTTCAGTCTCAAATCAAGCCATATCATATTAGACGAAAACAAAAAATTTAATCCAATATTGAAAAATGTGACGTTGTCATTTCTTAAAACAATGGTGATATGGGAACGGTGCGGTTCAGGTTTTAAGATTGTGAAAACTCAACTGTGTATAAAATCTGGTTCTAAATCCTTGCGGTTTAACCGCAAACCCGGACAGGTCTAAAGAGAGAGGAGGGCGTGGAAAGCGTTTCTTCTGATCTTCTGTTTTAAATTTGCTTCATCACGAAGCAAATCGGAGAGTAGACCGCCTTTGAACACTTCATTGACTTCGAGAAACCAATCGGAAAATGGTTCAACAGAAGCCGCTGATCTACGCGTTCGTGGCGCGCGGCACCGTCATACTGGCGGAGTACACTAGCTTCAGCGGAAACTTCAACTCCATAGCCTTCCAATGCTTGCAGAAGCTTCCACCATCCAACAGCAAGTTCACCTACAATTGCGATGGCCACACTTTTAACTACCTTGTTGATAACGGCTTCAGTACGCCCTTTCCTTTTAAGTTTATCATTTTTTGGTGTTGTTTTAGTTTTATATGTTCATTGTAGTTCTGTCAAAGGAAATGAAATAGAAGGCGTGGTGAGGCGTTACTCACGATCGCGATCGGATTTTGTGTAAAAGTAGTGCCGATGTATTTGATTAGCAGCTTTATCCATCTATGGGATCTGTATAGGTAGATCTTTATAGGTGGCGTGATTTGCTATCTAGTCATGTGTTAATATCAAGCGTAGTGCACTGAGTAAGGAACCAAGGTGGTGAACCTCTTGGGTTGATGTGATCGTAGTTGTTAGGTTTCAGATCCCCCCTCCTACTTAGATTTTTAGCTGTTGTGTTTGATTGAAACCAGCTGTTTCATACGAAATGAGATGAATTGAGGTCCATCTTGTTCTGCTACGTTTGGTGCAAATACTTATGACTTATGAACGTATATGCTTGATGCATATGAAACTGGTGATGCATTAAGCTTGATTCATACATGTTTCATGTTTGGATCCTGTTACTTATTACCAGTATTAGATTAATCAGAAATTGTCCTAAATAGGAGTAAAAACATTTTGAAATTCCAAAATAGGAGTATCATGTTTTTATTCCTTGAATAGGAGTAAATTTCTGCCAAGTCTGGCATTGCTAGGCTTTAAACATGGCATTTTTTCCCAAACTCGGCAGATTACTCCTATTCAGGGAATGTTAAAACATGATACTCCTATTTTGGAATTTCAAAACGTTTTTACTCCTATTTAGGGAATTCTCTCTAGATTAATTGTTTTTAGTAAAAGGGAATTATTCATTCATTAATATTTATTTCAGTTTTCGTTTGAGTTTTGATTATACGTCTTATTAGAGTGTTGCTCTGTGGCTGTGTAGCTTATTGTGTGGTTGCCGAAGAATCAGTAGGAAGACAAGTTCCCATAGCCTGCTTAGAGCGCATCAAGGATGACTTTGTATCAAAACATGGAGGTGATAAGGCTTTAGCTGCTCCTGCTAATAGCCTTAATAAGGAATTTGGGTAGCTAACCTTAACTTGCAAAAAAAAATCAGCAGATTTTCTTTACACCATCTTACCACAGGAGATTGTGTATTGCAGGCCCAAACTAAAGGAACATATGCAATACTGCATTGATCATCCGGAGGAGGTAAGCAAACTTGCAAAGGTGAAAGCTCAGGTCTCAGAAGTCAAAGGTGTAATGATGGAAAACATTGAGAAGGTGAGGATATATGTTTTTCTTGGTTGTTTGTGACCAAGTCCTTACCTTATCTTTTAAATTTTTTGCTCAATTCTCAGTTCTCACAGCTTAGATTCCATATAAAGATATCCGAGAAAATTCATCCTAATAAATGGAATAATATTGATCTTCGAGGCTTTTAGCTTTTTACAAATTTGTGATTATTACTAGCTATTGACATTTTATATTTTTATACATTTTTAATTCTATAGTCTAATAAAATTACATTGCTTCTTTCAAATTTATATCAATTGTCTCAATTTATTTCAAATGGTTACCTGGAATGGAAGGTCAAATCTCGGTAAAATGGATGCTTGATTGTGTGATTGACTGTTTTTCAAAGTAAGTGTGCTTGTGTGATACTTTTCGGCATCAGGGTTTAGGGAATGTATTTGAAATAGTAGAACATTCTTTTGGGCCCTTTTCCCCACAAAATTAAGAGCTATAAACTTTCATTTCCAGATTATCTTTGCAGAATTCAACTTTGTTTTTATTTGTACAAATCTGCAAGCCATTTGGATTGAAAACTGTAGAATGTTTGGCATTATGCTTTTCTGCAAAAGCTTAAATTGCTAGTAAAGTCTTGACATTTAACTAGCCATTTAAATTTCCTACCACATAGGACACATGCAACATAGTTTGAATTAAGGCGCTACTGGTGATGATGATAATGGAAAGACAACTGCTATTGCAGTACGAATATGCTCTCTGAAGTTGCTATTTCATAAATTTAAGGAAATGAGGCACATTTTTTTGTTTGTTATATGTTTAGGTTCTTGATCGTGGGGAAAAGATTGAGCTTCTCGTGGATAAGACAGAGAATCTTCATAATCAGGTCTGTCTTACTAGTTACTCCGCATCATTTTACAACTCTCAGTATCACTATTTTGGATCACTTCTGCTTTTTCTTTTTGTTGCTCCCCTTTGTGTACATAAGTTTTATTTTTGGAGGACAGCTATATTTAATGTATATGAATTAGGACTGGCATTTTGAACCGAAAAATCGTAAACCGAACCAAGAATGACCGAACCACATTGAAAAAACCCGAACCGGACCGGACCAATAAATCTTGGGACCCGAAAAAAAGAAGTTCGAAATCGTTTTAAATACTCAAAATATCGGTTTGTACCGAACCGAACTGATTTTTTTTATTAACAATAATAATTGTTCTTATTAGTACAAATCATAGTTAATGACGTTTACACAAGATATATAGAGTAATACCGTTTCAAGAGCATATTGAACGTATTGAACGCGTTAGTTCGTAGGTCGCCCAGTGCAATGGCATTCCGAGGCGTCAATGGTTTGAATCATGGCGGTGACTTTTTGTTTCAAATTTCTGTTTTTAGTCTTCTCTCATGTAGCACTTCATCCCACACCGGATAACGAATGGGTTTACTTCTCCAAGACTTCTATATAATAAGGGATGTGCTCACAGTTAGTCTTGTGACTTAGTATGTCATGTATTGCGGTCATGGAATACATGAGTGGCCTTAAATGGGCTCAATAGCCACATATTGGGCTTAATGCATCACATACTAGTTCAAGTTTATTTATTTTTATTGAAATTATTGATATATAATAGGTTGTTTCGGTTTTAGATAACCAACCCGAAAAATCAGTGCCCAATAAATTGGGACCCGTTCTATGAACGGTTTGGGGTGTGATAATTTGAATAACCGCAAATCCAGCGTAATATGAATCTATCTTTCTTGTATTCTTCGAAGAGATTGTTGCTCGATCACTTGTGAAATTTATTTCAGCTTTGTGGTGCCAAGCTACTTTAAACTGAATTGTACAATAAAAGTACGAAAAAAACTAGAAGTATTGGGGTATGATTGCATTTGTTGGAACAGGCACAGGACTTTAGAAGCACAGGCACAAAGATCCGGAGAAAAATGTGGCTGCAAAACATGAAGGTTAAACTGATAGTTTTGGGAATCATAATTGCGTTGATCCTCATCATAGTTCTTTCTGTTTGCCATGGCTTCAAATGTGGAAAGTGATGACAGTACAACATATTCGTGCAGGACAGCGCTCAACTTCTGTCTTCTGCACCCTCCCAAATCACTATATATATACTCCGTATATGGTTTCTGATGTTTTTGGTACAATAGGAAAACTGTCTAGTCCATTTACAATCATTGAAATATTTCCTAAATGTTATGCTATTTTTTGTTCATGTATGTTTTGTGTATGGTTTTGAATGGGAGCTTTGGTGCACTGAAGCCACTGATTAAGATATTGTTGTTTGATGGAGAGGTCATGGCCTCATGGGCCTCTTGTCACGATTTGACGGGAAAAGGTTTGCCCTTATACACCCTTGTGGTTGTGACCTTTCCCCGGACCCCCCCTTGCGGGAGTTTTCGTGCATCGGGCTGCCTTGTTTGTGTGTGTGTGTGTCTGGTTTCGAGCTGTTAAGGGTACTTTTGAGCTTCGAATGCGCTAGTTGATGTATTATACTGATGTGTTCTCTTCTACTTCATTCTTCCAAAAATAAACCGGATAGGATTGAATCAAAACACATTAGACTTGCAACTAAAATAAGACCAGATGAAATCTTATTTATATAGATTACCAAACTTAAACTAACCATCACATGCTAGATTGGTAAGTTTCCAATTTATAATCAAATTTACAAACATACGAGTAATACACTATCTTTTAAAAAAAGTTTTAAAACTTCTCCCTTCATGCTTCAGTTGGTATGTAACAATTTATAGAATAATTCTCATTGTCAGACTGTCAGTACATGTTTTATGTGCGTGGAACCGTGAAATGATAACTTTGTGGGGCAAAGCATCCAAAATATCCAAATACATTTCGCTAATTCTAGTTGTTACAAGTTACTTTCAACTTACACAAATCATATATAACGTAATAAGAGTCGGCAAACGACCAGGGGCGGAGCTAGAAAAACAGCTGAGGGGTCGAAAATCAACTATGTACAAAATGAAAATGGTAAATCGTTTTCAGACAATATCTGAGTTGAATGTTATATTTATAGTTTAGATAAATAGTCAATCGTAGCAATAAGATAGATAATCTTTGCTATGTTTCTGAATCATGTCATGTAAGTAATGAGTTAATTATACGTTATTTTTAAAATTTGGGAAAATAATCAATATTACGCATCAAATTTTGATGATTTTACGTTTAGATAGTGCTGATTTTCCAGAAGTCATAACTTTTTACTCGTAATGAGTTACGGAGACTATAATATATCAAATTGAAGATATTTCCAAGTTTTATACTCTCAAATTTTCAGCGGGGTCGGCTGACCACCCTGACCCCCTACAAACGACGATATATTTATTTCACTAAAGAGTATCGGTGCTTAAATTATTAGGCTATGAAATTTTTTAAGTTTAGTTAGTTAAATAATTAATTTGGAGGAATAGCTTGAGTGACCTTAAATTGAAAAAAAACATTTGGACCAAATCATTGATATAATATACCTACCGTTTATGTTCAAACCTTGTACAATAGACTTCCATGCCCATTATATCCTTGTAGGCTTGTAGCTCTTTGCCCCGGTAATATATAAAAATAGTCTCATCCCTCATACTCCGTATATGAATAGCACCCGGCCTCCATATATATAAAGTTATAAACTCATACACCATGTAAGGTGTTAGAGACTATATAACCAAGCCCTATCTATAGATCCAACTCGACGAGGAGTTGGACGGGAGTTGAAGGGGGCGGTAGCCCCTCCACGGGACCACGGGGGTCCGGAGGCGGTAGCCCTCCGACCGAAATTTTTGGGTCCGTTCGATACGGAAGTGAGCTAGACTGTCTCATGTCAAGGTATATAGTATTGAATGACTAGTAGACTAAAAAATGGGGTGTTTGCTATGACGGAAAGATATGTACAAAAGCCAATAACATTAACAACTACAACAATAATAAAAAATAAATAAAAAGTAACCACCCTAATACGGAGTATAAACATAATCTAGACTAGGGAGGTGTTTACTTCACTGCTAAAGTCACAGTTAGGTTAGTAAGACAGGTGAAGTAAACACGCACACTGCTTAAAAAGCCGCTTACTAACCGAAAGAGGTGCTTAAAGTGCCGCTTATTAAGCATACCACCCCCCATGTATTAATTAAGCGGCACTTTAAGCTTTTTCAGTTTCCGAATTTACCCCTTGCCCTTAACCTATTGTTATCCCTGCCCCACCTCGACCCCAACCCCACCCTACCCTTACCCCACCTACCCCGACCCTACCCCGACCCCACCCCACCTACCCTACCCCACCCCGACCCCACCCCCGACCCCCACCTACCCTATCCCACCCTGACCCCACCCCTACCCTACCTAACCGACCCCCACCATACCCTTACCTACCCCGACCCTACCCCTACCTACCCGACCCCCCTACCACTACCCCGACCCCACCCTACCCCTACCTTACCTATCCGACCCCACCCTACACGTACCCCCCACCTTACCCCTACCCTACCCCATTACCAGACACCCCCTACCCTACCTAACTGACCCCCACCCTACCCTTACCCCACCTACACTACCCTACCCCTACCCGACCCCACCTTACCCCTACCCCTACCCTGACCCAACCCAACCCTACCCCGTCCTACCCCTACCCGACCCCACCCTACCACTACTCTACCTACCCAATCCCACCCCTACCCTACTTACCCGACCACACACCTACCCTTACCCTACCTACCCCACCCCTTACCCACATACCCGACCCTACCCCTACCCTACCCCGCCTCAACCCCCACCCTACCTACCCGAACCCACCCTACCACTACCCGGGTTGGGTAGGTAGGGGTAGGGGCGGGGTTGGGGTAAGGTGGGGTTGGGGTGGGGTCGATGTGGTAAGGGCCTACCAGGGGCCTATGGGGTCGGGGGTAGGGTTGTGGTAGGGTGGGGACAGGTTAGGGTGGGGTCGGGTAGGGGTAGGGTCGGGTAGGTAGGGTGGGGTCAGGTAGGTAGGGTAGGGGGTAGGGGTAGCGGTGGGTGGGGTCGGGGGAAGGTAGGGTGGGTAAGGGGTTAGGGGTATGGGTACACATATTATATTATATACTTGTGTTCATGAATGTTTGTGTGTATATATATGTATAGGGTTATTTTGGACATTTTAATGTTAAGCGGTGTTTTAAACCGTTTGAAGTAAACACGGTCTTACAACATTGTTTATTTTATGCGCCGCTTATTAACACGGGTCTTAATAAGCACCGTTTAATAACCGGTGAAGTAAACATGTCCTAGATAACAACGTAGTATGATAAATTCTCAAAAATTGTGCCAATTAGCAAAACTCTCTTCACAGTTCACACTGATCCAACTTAGTTCCAGACTTCCAGCTATGTACATTTTGACTACGTAGACTAATATGCCGCCGATCGAGAGACTAGCTATTCCAATTTTGTATGGAGACTCAGCTAAGATCCCAATAATTTCACTTTGTTTAATTCAGTCTATAGACTATATATAGTCAACAATTCAACGATGACATCCTTGAACGATGTTTTTGTTTTTGACTTTTATCGAGCTAGAATAACTTTTATGGGGTCGGTACTTTTATGGAAATTGGGATGAATTCGAAAAGCAAACGCGTACGGTAATAATAATAATGATAGTAATTTGATTATTATAATTTGATTTAATTAGTCAGACAATCTTATCCATGAAGGAGAGAATAAAAAATGTGGGGAAGGGGAAAAGGTGAGGCAAAAAAAGTGAAGTTCCTGAGGGACATTTCCACATTCTTCACCAGAGCTTTCACCCATTTTTCAAAAGGAAAATGACCGGGAATAATTTTGTGTTTGTCGGATGTGGAAATAGTGATTGACTTTGGGAAATTGCTCAAAATTTGGAATAATATTTTTACTTATTATGATGGATTGATTACAATGTGCTGAGTGAATATATTCAGTGGCATATACAGGAGTTCTTGTGAGGTGGACGAGTTCACATGCATGCATCTGAACACATTAAGTAAAATAGTATACAATTCATTATAAATAAAAACCAATCACTCGGCTAAAAAACATGGATAACAAATTTCATTATGTCATGTGTGAAATAAATTTGTCACATTTTTTTTAGTTTTTTTATGTTAAGGAAATTCATCATTGATGTCGGTGTCGTTCCTAGTGTTGTTGGATCAATAGACTTGTATTATGATAACAATGGAGCCATTGCACAAGCCAAGGAACCTAGATCACACCAGAAATCAAAGCATGTACTCAGACGCTATCATCTCATTTGAGAGATAGTGAATAGAGGTGACATAAAGATATGCAAAGTATCAACAGATGCAAATGTGGCTGACCCGCTCACCAAGTCACTACCACAAGCAAAGCATGAACGTCATACTAGTGCATTAGACATTCGTTTAGTTCACGATTGGTCCTAGTGCAAGTGAGAGACTGTTGGAAATATGTCCTAAGACAATCATAGTTTATGATTTATCAATAAATATTTAATGCTCATTAATTAATAAAGTCACAAACTCATTTTATGCTAATTATCATTGTGTGTTTTCTTTAATAATATTTAGTTCCTGAATATTATGTTTAGTAGCTAATTAAGTACGTGACTTAATTGTGGAATGCTACACTTTAATATAAGCATAATATTTTAATTGTCCTTGGTCTAATATTATTAATTAGGGACATTAATAATTAATAGATTAGTATGTGGATTAACTGATGGCTATATTCCACTAATCATGGGTATGAAGATATCAAGTTAATAACATAGATGCTTGTTAGTGAACAAGTTCATTGGACATATCCAACTTAAGGACACTGCTAGGTTATATGTCATCACTGTTGTCCTCAATAATGATGATGTGCTATATTCTTATACTTGAGATAATCATGGTTACTTGCATGAGAATTAATATGTATTAACGTCATTAAATATTATCTTTAAATGGGTAATTATAAAGGTGGTGAATGTACATATTATGAATTATGTAGTGGTATGTGAATTATCAAGATAGTTTTTGTCACTCTCGTATAGCGAGAGAAAGATATCTATTGGGTCCCTTGACAAATAAAATTAATCAGTATGATCATGCTCAAATGATCGAAGTGTCATTTGATCAAGATTAATATTACTTGGTAATGAGGAAACATTAATTGAGAATAACAAGGATGACACGACCTAACCTTGTCTCAATTAAGACATCGTTTGACAAAGGAGAATTATTGGCGCAAATTAATCTTTAAAAGGTTATGTCAGATTTAATTGACATTTATATATTTTGGATAATCATAATGTCTTGCTAGAGTCCGCTTATGATTTGTGAGGCTTGAATTAATTTTCTAGCCCACTACCAACGATATATAAATCTACAGGGTCCCACACCTAAGTGATTTGGATCATTAATGTTTGTTAATAACATTAAAATAGTCTGATTAGCCCAATTCGAAATAGGTTTTCGAATGGTATTGGGCTAGGGCCTCCAGGAGAGTTTTATTAGCTATA